CCACGGCCAACTGGGGTGGGCGAGTTTAGACAAATCTGTAGGAGAGGTGGTCATGCAACCGAGAGATACCTCAAACTAAGTCGCAAGAGCCGGACTAGCCGTGTCTGTCTGCTCGAAGGTGTGCATAGACATTCAAGGACTATACAAAACGAAGAGTTCAAGAGGCAACAAAGTGTGGCCCTTGTCTCTGATTGGTGGTCACAATGGGATACATGCTGACTTAACTGACCCCAGAAAAGTGTCCAGCTCCCCCGACCAGGTTTAGAATGGAGCTAAAGACGAGAAGGGTTGTACAACATGCATGAAGACCTACGGCTGGAGGGGTTGGCTCCGTATCCGCCTTGTGGGGTGGGGCGAGAAGATGGGTTGAAGAGACTTTATGAGTGGCTGTTGAACCAGACAAAGTGAGTATTGTTACCATGTCTCCGAAATAGGTCTCGTCATCGCCATCCACCCTGTGCATGTTATTCGAGCACCTGTGGAATCGCCCCCATCCCCCATCGACTGGCCATCGGCCCAGACGCGAGCTCGAATAGAAATGGGATCTTCGAACAACATGTTTGAAGCAGTGAAAGTGCCAGTGAGAGAAGGAGGAACGCATGTAGACATGCATGTGCATGTGAATGTTGGTATGTGTGTGTCAGTGTGTTCAGTGAGTGGGGCCATTCTTCCACTGATACTGCCATGGCCTTGTCTGTGCCAAGCGTCGGCTGCATGTTTGTCTTCATGTACGCCCTTATTTGCCTTTATGCCTTTTGTGTCTATGCGTCCCTAAGCCTACATGTTGAACTGGCCAGTTTGACGATCATTTGTCGACGGACCCTCGCCCCTCCCCATGCCCTGTTCACAATTTCTGCAAAGGCAGTCCAAGACAGAGCCTTTCTTGCCTCCGAAACTTTTCTCACCTCCTTCATTCAATTCGCCATCGCCCCCTTTCTCAATGCCCTGACTCTTAATCCTTAAAACTCGCCCAATTCGCCTCTGCCAAACTTGGTGGCTTCGTCTGTGAAGACGGGCTGTGGGGTGTAACTACGCGGCCAGACATGCTGCCTCCGAGGCGGGTGGAGGCAGCGCTGCCGAGGCGAATAAGGACATTGTTCGCGTTCACTTTTTACTTCTTCCAGTTTATATCCCCGAGTCGGCCAGCTCCCAACGCCTTTGCTAGCCCAGTTTTACCTTCTACCTGAAGAGAGTTTATTGCCTCTAAATAACACTCGACAACTTCCCACTTTCCCAACCGACTCCCACCTTCCCATTTTTCCTCCACCCAGTCCCTCCATAGCGCCAACAAGTGCAGCACAATTAGGCCAGCGTCACATTATCCCTGCCCCACCGCAAGACCCCTCACGTTGGCCAACACCAAGTCCAGATTTGTTGTGGACTTGGTGGACAGCATTAGCTCCGAACCTTCGGGAATTGTTATCACTTCGCCAGGGCTGGCTGTTGCAACCTGGCCTCGGTGAATCTGGCCCGAATGTCAAGACATGCCGGCGAGAAGGGCGGTTGGTTTATCAGCTCATGATTGTATGACGCAGTGCCTGTGAGGAGGGATTAAATTGGCCCACACATTTGCTTCCTCTTGGGCTCGTCGAGGTTAAGTCAAGGCGTTCAGAATTAGCCGCCTTAATCGAGTCTTGCAAGATGCTCCTCACTACGGCACAACAACGAGCCAAGCCGTTATTTCGACAGGCAGAGTAGCAAGGCAATTGCCACTTCTACCGGGCAAAACGGGATAAGGAGAGAAAATTTTATTTCTTCAAAGTAGGCATTGAGACTAGCATTAAGTCTTAAGGAGATTTGACAATTGATAATTCAGATTTATCAACTCACCCTTCGTGACGGGCGGAATAAGTTCATATTTACGATTTAAAAAATGTCTGTAGAATGAAGATATCGTTGGGGAGACCTTCATCTTGTATGAAAGTGCATGAAGCAGAGATTCGCAGGTTGAACTCACCAGAAGACGACGGCTGAATCCAAGTGAACCGCAACCGTTTAGCTTAACTACAACGTTCAGGTAGTCACAGTGACGTCATTCTTATTAAATTTTCCCATTAATACAAAGTCAAGAAGACTATCCGTCTCCAGCTTACCTCTTATATATAGTCATAATAAAAACGAAAATGATCAGGCAAGAATAGATATAGAATGGTTTAGCTAATTATCTTTCATACTGATTCTGCTACTCTTGCTCGAATGTTTGTGTGTGTGTATGTGTGTATAAACGCAATACCAATCCTAAATCAGAGTGATCAGAAAAGACGAAT